GAGGGCAAGGGAAGGGGAAAAAAACAAGAACCAAGAGACTCATGTAATGGTACAAGATCCCAATGATGAATGTAACTGTATTTTATTCCAAAAATGTACCAATAAAGTTTATGGGGAAAAAAATTTTAAAAACTACCTTCACAGAGCTGAGAAAACTAAAAAAATAAAAATAAAAAAAGGGTGAGTCGACAAATACAGCTGAATGAGATGCAGGTTCCCATCTGTGTTGCCATGCTACCAAAGCCAATGCCAGTGGCTGGGGACAGACAGTGCTGGCCTTGTTGCCGCTCAGCTGAGTCTACACCCTATGACCCAGGTCAGGTCACTCTCCTGCTTTGTCCTACTGTCCACTGCTGGGAGGTGGGACCACTGACATCCACACCACAGCACGTCTCCAGGGCTGGGTGGGTGCCTGTGGGTGCCGTGCAGCCAGGTCCTCGCACATGGAGCATGGTGACCTGAGTCAGTACCCACCACCATCTACGTGGGGACCACTGAGGGACCACTGTGCTCTCCTCATCTTGTGTGCTCATGTGACTTTTGTCTCTTTAGGGACCTCTGATGGGCTGTTAGTCTGATACTCCCTCGTTTGAAGCAGAGGCCACAGCCCCACCTGGAAATGAGCAAGGAGGACTAGCGGCACCAGGGGCTCCACCCGTGCGGTCCACCAGAGCCGCAGAGCCGGGCTCCTGAAGATGCTGGCAAGACTGCAAGTTCTTACCTTGGCTTTGTTTTCAAAGGGATTTTTCCTTTGTTTAGGGGACCATAACTTTCAGAGGAAGGAGATTAAAATAGAAGGTGACCTTGTTTTGGGGGGCCTGTTTCCTATTAACGAGAAAGGCACTGGGACTGAGGATTGTGGGCGAATCAATGAAGACCGGGGCATCCAGCGCTTGGAGGCCATGCTGTTTGCAATCGATGAGATCAACAAGGACAACTACTTGCTGCCTGGAGTGAAGCTGGGTGTCCACATTCTGGATACATGTTCAAGGGACACCTATGCCCTGGAGCAGTCACTGGAGTTCGTCAGGGCCTCACTGACCAAGGTGGACGAAGCAGAGTACATGTGTCCTGATGGATCCTATGCCATCCAGGAAAACCTCCCTCTGCTCATTGCAGGCGTCATCGGCGGCTCTTACAGCAGCGTCTCCATACAGGTAAGGGGTGCATCTGAGGCTCAAAGGCACATTTCCGAGCTTATGTGACTCAAGGGACAAGGGCAGAAAAATGGGTGATATTAGCAATACAATATTAACCTTTCTCTCCCAATGAAAATTGTTCAGAAGTGTATCAGGCAGCTACTGCAGCAATACAAACTGACCCCCATCTTCAGCGGCCCACACAAGTAGGCATGAGTTTGTAAGTCTGAAGGTGCAGTAGAGTGCTCGGTGGAGGCTGGGCTTGGCCGTGGGGGGCTGTGCAGGGGGGCCTACATAACAGGCCAGGCCAGCCCAAGCTCCTCCTTCCTGGAGGACAGCAGAGGGATGGGCGAGTGCAGACTCACCTGTGCAAGCCTCTCTCCAGCTCTGCCTGTGTCGCATCTGCCAGCACCCAGTTAGCAGAAGCAACTCTCGGGGCTGAGGAGAAGAAAGAATGCCCTGCCCACAGAACATGCCACAGTCCACTGAGTGTCCTGAGATGAGCTGGTGATGGGAACCACAAGGAGGGCCAGCATCCCTGAGCACAGGCCGATTTGTACTAAAGCACCGTTTTGTTCAGAGACAAAATGTGAAGAGCATCTAGATATATAAACCTCAAAATGTATGCAGAGAAGCCAGATAGTTACTACTTCTAAAAAAAGGAAAGAAAAGAAACTTTTAACACACAAGTTGAACTAGATGAAACTATGTAATTGACTCTAGTGATTTTGTTAAGGAAAGAAGAAATACATCCTTCAAGTCCTTGCAGTTCTCACTCACAGGGCCAGGGAAGGTTAGAGAGAGAAAAGAGCCACGAAGTCATTCATGTCGACCTTCTCATTTCCCAGTTGCCAAAAAGACCGGATTCATCCAAACCCCCATCGGCAGGCAGGGCAGGCACCGGAATCCAAGTAGATCTTTGTGCCCCTGTGCTCCTTTGCCCCGCGTGACTGCTGTACATGACTGGAGGCTCAGTGTCTCTTCTGGTGCGAGCACTAGTGGTCATGACTGCAGGAGTCATGCACTTTGGCCTCATCCAAATCCCTGTCACCAAAGCCCCAAGCCCTAAAGGAAGCAGTGTGAGGCTCATGCTGTCTTCTGAGTCACAAACCCACTGGACTGGCTCTATTTGCATTGGAATTACTTCATTTCTCTATCCTAGATTTGTGGCATTTAAAATTCCAAGTGTAATTCTGTGCTGTTCTAAATGAGCACTTCCTAATTTCTTTCCTTCTTCAGAGCACACAGTCATATTATGAGTAATTAGGGTAATTGCTTTTTCATAAACACCCTTTGACTTCATTAGACAGATAGAAAATATTGCACATCTCAAAGCACATCATGTTCATTTTGTCACTAATTCTATATTCAGATCAGGAGAGAGAGAATTTGCTATTTGAGAAGGAAAAATTGAAGGTATTTATCTGCCATACTTCAGTAATAATTTCACCAGCTGAATGTCAGTCATTTCATAATTACTTACATTGTACAAAATATGACCACATGTGCTTTCTCTGAGGCCCATTTCTCCCCATACAGTACATGGTCCTGCAGAGTAGATGTGTCCATAATGATTTATCCAAAGCAGTTAACAAGATGGTCCTGCCAATAGAGTTTCCATCTAATTTTATTCCTTTGATAATATACTCACCTCCCAAAAGGTCAGATTGGCCTAGGAAGAACTGTGGACCCCTAAAACCCAGTTTCTGTTCCCAACGAAAGAAGCCTCTTGTTACCCAGAGATCTGGCTCATTATTTCATTCCCGCCGTCAACATCACCATACAGTTATCAGTGCTCATACGCTTTTGCCTCCCCACCATAAATACAAAAACAAACTGTCACGCCATAAGAAAGGGCATCAGAAAGAGCGGAGAATGAATTCTAACTCCACCATTTACTGGTCAGCTACAAAATGAAGAAAACAGTCTACCTCAAAAAGTTGTGAAGATGATAATTTGAGAAAAATCTGCCTTCAGTAAAAAATTAGGAGATTTAGTAAATGGTTCCTATGACGTCCCTAAAATTACAGGAGAAGTCAGCAGGGGCTCCACGCATAGCCACCTTGGCGGCCTGCCAGTGGCCCACAGTCTAATGGAACCATTGCGGGTCCCATGGTTGACCAGCAGGCCCATCTGTGCAGCGATCACTGTGTGCTCTGCCCTCTGCAGGGGACACTGCGCTCCTACAGCACACAGCCGGAAGTCCGGCTGCAGGTGGCGCTCTGTGGGAAACAGCAAGGACTGCTTCTGAGCACATCCGCTTGGCTAAAGGCTTCGGGAATGACAGAAGGGCACAGGGAAAGGGGCCAGGAAGGTCACAGTGCAAGTGGGACACCAGACGTGGGGAGGCTGCCGGAGTCAGGGCAGACGTCCGGGCCGGGGGGGCGGGGGGACAGAGAGGGCTTCCACCCCCAGCCCCCAGCTTTCGGACTCCTCAGTTTCTCTAGAGGAAGCCGGAAGCTGGAGCTGCACCTGCACCGTGACTCCAGGCACCTTCGGAGGCCTGAAACGTCGTAACCGAAAAGCGGTCACTGGAGGCGTGGACAGAGTTGGAGTTAGTCTGGTGCCCTTCAAAACATCCCTGTCCTTTAGTAAGGAGTTTTTAAAATGCAGCCATGCAGTCCACAGCAACAGGCTCTCCATGTGAATTTAAGACGCCCTCTTTCAGTGTCCCTCTTGTGCATCCAGGAGGGGAGCAGGGGCAGAGAGGATTCTCCTGGCTGGCTCTCGCACTCACCCACTGCTTCTCCCATGAGTGTTCTGGCCACGCACACTGGCGCTTCGTGACCGTGTGATGCCTCGTAGCTCATGGTGCTGCCGTCCCTGTACCTGCTCTCGGCTCCTGCGCGTTACCGCAAAGTCGCTTTGCGTGAACTGCATAGCTGCGAAGAGGTGAAGTGTCACGAACCCGCCACACCCTCTGGAAGCCCTGCAGGCCCCTGTCACGTCTCCCCAGGGCCAGGGAGCCGCGCCCTCAGCAGCAGCCCCAGCAGCAGCACGGCTGTGGACTGGGAGGAGGACGGTGTGTGCGCGCCTCCCCTCTGTGGCTAGGCCTGAGCTGGATCTGTTACCGCCTTCCTGGCCGAACTGCCTGAGCTGCATTCGGTCCCCTCCTCTTCTTCCGACTGTAGACGAGGAACCCCGGCACGAGCACGGGAGTGCTTCCCTGCCCCCCCCCCCCGCAGTTCCTGGAAGGGGCTCGGAGTGCAGGGGCCGGGTCCCGCCGGCTCGAGGACCGGGTCATTGCTGCACCCCGGCTCTGGGTAAGGAGCAACCCGTCTGCGGTGCCCCTTTCTGAACCAACAATATCGATTTCTTAACCCAGAACTAATGAGAGGGAATCCCTCGCATCAGCACAGCGACTCGGGCTCTCTCCATCCTCGATGAGGGCATCTTCCCGAAGCATGCAGACCGCCTCTCTGTGCCCACAGACCGCTCGGTGCAGGGGAAATCGCACTTCTTCAGGAACAGGATCCGGCCCACTGCCTTTAGCTGGACGATCATCTCCACCGTGCCCGATTAGCAGCCCTGTTCATGCTTGCGCTTCCCAGACAGGCTGTGGTCAGCGCCTAACTCATCCAGTTAAGAAGTCCCCAAAACGTTCCTGACTATTCAGAGGAGTTTTTGAACCAGTTCTTTCCCAAATGAAGCACATTTTAGCTGGGACACGGCAGGTATAAATTGAGTCATTTATTGCATTGTCTCTGGGCATTAAAGTAGCCTCAGCAAATGGGGACATGGGTTAGATGGCATCGAAAAATCGAGCTCATGAGGAGTAGAAGTTTGCCTGGAAGGACTCTTCCCCCTTCTCTCTCATGCCCGGAATGGTGAGACCTTTCCTCAGAATTCCTAGCACCATCCATACCCCAGGAACCCCCCGGCTCGGAGAGGTGGTCATCGACTCAGCCTGCCATGGCATGGACTTGTGTGTTCCATGCATTGCACACATCATACACCTGAGAAGCCCATCAGTTATCCCAGCACTCTGGGAGGCTGAGGCAGGAGGATCGAAAGTTCATGCCTAACTTGAGCAACTTAGTGAGACCCCATCTCAAAATGAAAAGTAAAAACAGGCTGAGGATGTAGGTCAGGGTGAAGTCCTGGGTTCCATCTCCAGTATCAAAAACTTAAAATAAAGCCCACAAAACAAACAAAAACCACTAAATCCTTGGCAGTTGACTCACAGATTTTAGCTCTACAGGGAAAGAGAGAAACAAACTCGCATAAAGACACCACTGCCTCGGATGTCTCCCACCTGACTCCACAGTGCTAAGGGGCCACCGCTGGTCAATCTGTATGAAGCACTGCCTTCCAACTTAAATAGATCCCTTCTTCACTTAGTCCTGATGCCCCTGGACAGGTCCACACATAAATTTCTAGTCTTATAGCAGAATTAAGAAATGATCCAAAGCCTTGGGGTACAAGACTCTTCAGAGCAAGCTGTCTGATGGCAGCTGGGGGATGGACAGTGTCAGCCCTCACACTTGCTCTGTGTATAAACAGACTGAGTCTGGACAGTTTCTCCACCTTGGCAGCTGGACATTGTGGCTAGGATTCTCTGCATATGGTGCCCTCCTGCGAATCACAGGACAGGGAGCAGGAGCCCTGGCCTCTGCTGCTAAGATGGCAGCAGCCCAAGCTGTGACCCCTGAAAATGTTTCCGTACATCACCAAGCGACAGAACAATCTCCCCTCACTGAGAATCACTGGTCCAGGACAAGGTGAGGTCAGGCTCAACACAAGAAAGAGTCCTCAGAAAAGCAATTGCCTGGAGGGGGTGGGGCAGAGGGAAGTGAGTCCTCTCACCGGAGTTACTCAAGCACAGGCTGGCCTCTGACTGAGGGTGTCGAAGCATACAGCATTTATGGGTGTTACCTAATTTTATACTTACATGTTGCTCAATCGAAATATCTCATCAGGGGCCCAGGGATTGGAATGGAAGTGCTTAAAACACGATGGAAAATGAATAATAGCTATTATTCCATCAGGATCATTTGAAGTAGAAGTCCAGCCAGTGG